CTAATTCTTGTACTAAACCCTCGTTCAAACATGGTTTCAAAGCTATTTTTTAGGGTTTAGTATTTATTTATTTATTTTATTATTTTTTTTTCCAGACACCGTTCATTCCTCTTTTTCTTTTTCTTCCTTTTGTTTTTCCTCCTCTGAAATTCCCATGTGGTAGTCTCGAACTCCATGGTTGAGTAAAAGAAAACGCACCTGAGTATGTTGATGACCGTTGCGTCGTGTGTGTCAGCGAACGGTGGTTGTCGTGGCAGCCGTGGGTTGTGACAGATCTTGGCGTTGTCGTGGGTCATGTGTTTTCTGTGGTGGTTCGTCAGTGTTTGCGCTGCCGTCATTGGGTCTTCTGTGTCGTTAATTTTTGCCCTCTGTGTATCTGCGCCACCGGTGGTCTTCTGTGTCGCCGGTAGTAGCTGTTGAAGATTGAGGGCCTGTATCGTTTAGAGTTGGTGCGTGGAGTGGTGCCTGGTTTGGGCCAAAATCAGTTTTGTTAATATTTTTGGCCGTCATTTGGGCCTTCTTTTGTCAGTTGGGCCCTTTTATTTGCTGGACTTTCTTTTATTTATTTGGCTTGATTGTGTGAGCCTTATTTATGTCTTTCAAGATGGAAATATTTAATTTGACTGGACCCATGGCACCTGAAAAATTGAATGAAAGAAATTACACTTACTGGGCTAGGTGCGTCGAGGTCTTCTTACGAGGTAAAAGTTTATTTAATCACTTGATTTTAGACAAGCCATCTACCAAATCTTCCGAAAGTGATTCTTCTATCAACGATCGATGGGATCAAGAGGATAATGCCATAATTGGACTTATGATCAGTAGTATCGAGCCTCATATCGGTTCTTCATCCTTCTATATGACTACGGCTAAACAAATTTGGGGGCATCTCCAACACATACATTCTGGAACTGGAAATGTTACTCAGATATATGAAACGTGTAAGCAATACTTCGAGCTTGAGAAAGGATCCTTCAGTCTTGTTGAATATTATAATAAACTTTTAGCTGTGTGCCAAGAGAGAAATGTACATCAACCTCTCTCTCTTGATTTGAAGGTTATGGAGAAACAACGTGAAGATATTGATGTTGTTAAATTCCTTATTGGTCTTTCTCCGGAGTTTGAAGCAGTTCGAGCACAAATATTAGGTGGAAAAGAGCTCCCCAGTCTTGCAGAGACATTTGCTCGTATTCAGCGCTCTACCTTATCAGATAGTACACTCCATGGAGATCGTTCTGCTTTTATTGCTCGGGGTGGACGTGGTTTTATCCCTAGGGGTGGACGAGACACTAAAGGAAATGGTCGTTCGGGAAATTGTGAACCTCGAAAATGTACTCATTGTGGTCGTGTAGGTCACTCCGTTGATTATTGTTGGGATGCACATGGCAAACCATCTGGATCTGCCAATCAGGTTTTTCTAATGAAGCTCATAATACTGTATCTGGACCAATGGCTAACTCTAGTTCAACATCCGAATCTGATTTTTTATCTGTACCACGAGATGAGTACGCTGAGTTCTTAGCTCATAAACATGCCGCTTCCAATTCTATGGCTACTCTTACTTAGTCAGGTAATGCATCTTCTCACTGCCTATTGTTATCCTCTCCCAATGCATGGATTATAGATTCTGGAGTAACTGAACACATGACTGGTTCGTCTACTTCTCTTCTTGATTATCATCCTGTTATTTCTCCCAAATGTGTCACTCTTGCTAACGGTTCCCGAACTAGTGTTGCTGGCTCGGGCGATGCCCATCTTAGTCCTAATATTGATCTGTCAGCTGTCCTTCACGTTCCTGGCTTTCCCTTTAGTTTACTGTCTATTAGTAAAATTACCACAATTCTTCAATGTTCTGTAACCTTTTATCCTTTGTGTTTTTCAGGATCTCAAGACGACGAGGATGATTGGTATGGGGCATGAAGTTGGTGGATTGTATTACCTGGATCTTTCTCCTCGAGCTCTCT